CAGATGCTGCTTTTTTGTGGTCAAACACCAAAGTGTTTGGAAACTATTAATATACTCAGTAATCATATATTGTTCTTTTATAATTTCTGTTTTTTGGGGGTAAAATATTACAAAATCTTATCATCTAAGTCTTAACATGACAAGTAACTAGTAACAAACGATATCAAATAATACAGTTGAGCAAAAGTCCGACAAAGCATAACATGGAAACACTCAAGTAAAGTACAAGCACCTGTATTTGAGTACATTTACTTCGTTACTTTTAGTGAAAATACTCATTTAAATCAGCTGTCAACAGCCTCTCTTCCCTTATTGTGTCTCCTGCAGGCAGGCGAGTCAGTTCTGAGTGCTTTAAGTGGCTGTAAGATACTGAGAGAGCTGTCCAAGCATGAGGTGGAGACTGAAACCAAACTGTCCATGAAGGAGCTGGCCCAGAGGTTTGAGAATCTGGCACATGGTAAGACCTTCAGTCTAGTTTCCACTATCCTCTAGATATTTAGATACGTATTTCTAGATGTTTAGTTTTTTAATACATTCAGAAAGTGTGTTTGTACACTAATAAAGCAACAGATACGGTATAAATTCCTGCAGCAGTGGTTCACTTGGTGTAAGCAGTAGTTTGCAAGAGAAGCTCATCTGTTTTGCTTCGCCTCAGATGTCTTCAGCTCCTGCTATCGGAGCAATGAGAGTCGCTCCTTCACCCTGCTGATCAGGAAATCTCCAGTTTGGGGCGGCACCACCTGCCTACAGATGGGAATGGGAGCAGATGCACGACTGTTCTTCAGCCACGATGGAGTGCAGGTGTGTCACCGTTGTTACATCTGTGAGACTGGCTCATGAAAGACGACGGTGGAACCCAAATCTCTAACTTCATTAGGCTCTATTATACTTCAGTCTGCTCTGCTAATGCTCAACTGGATTTTCAGGCTAATGTTCAACATTTTGTGTGCCTTAGAAAATGATAAATCGATGTTACAATAATTGCAAATAGCAGCACTTGGTTACAGCAAAGTATTAATGATATTGGACTTCCATGTTAAGAAAGTGAAGTGAAATGTTCTGTCCTCTTCCAGTCTCTGTTGTCTCAGATCTGGTGGGGTGACATGAAGAGGAACACTGAGGTGTGGAAGCTGCTGCTCACTTTCTTCTGCCCCCTCTTCTGCTACACCAACCTCATCTCCTTCAGGTAAAACCCACATTATTTATTTATTTTCTCATCAGCATTCAGAAAATGAAAGATTTCAGAATAGTTTTTATTTTTCTATATTAATTTATAATTTTCCATCAAACTCCACCTCCTAGGAACCAAGAGGACCAGCAGCAAGAAGAGGAGGGGAAGCCTAGCGAGGACGGTCCAGGTCGGGACAGTGACAGCCTCTATGGGACCACCGTCTTCTCCTTCTCTGACATCAAGCACATGTAATATTTCAATACGATGCACTCGCTGAAATCGTGCCGTTAAGGTAAACTAGGTGACTGGTTGCATAGCTTCTATTAAATGTGCTGATACACCAAAATTGATGTGTTGTTGTACCAGTGAGGCTGATTCACAAGGACCGATCACTCCCAGGACAGCCACCATCAGAGGTGAGTCCTGTTTCAACACGTTTTAGAAGCTGTTGTCACTGTGATGATCTGCTAATTCATGTCTGATAACTCTTTTTACAGGCGTGCCCCACCGCCGCCCACCACCGAAGCGTCCCTTCATAGTGTCACGCTGGCGTCAGTTCTGGTTCGCGCCCGTCACCTCATTTTTGGGCAACGTCCTGATGTACTTCCTCTTCCTCCTGCTTTTCGCCTACGTGCTGTTGGTGGACTTCAAGCCGCCGCCGCCCGCTGGTCCGGCCATCACTGAGTACGTGTTGTACTTCTGGGTGTTCACCATCGTGTGTGAGGAGATCCGAGAGGTAAGTTTAGAGACACGTCTTACCTTTTATTTAGTACTTACTGCATAGACCTGTCGTGTAGTCACTGAAAAAGTAGAAATCTAATCCAATAGATTAATGATTTGCAATCAATTTACAGTGTATGGGTCATTCCATCTCATCATCAAATTTTAGGAACATTTTTTTGCTTGACCAGCTTCAATTTGCTTCAAATTTTTGTTGCATAAAATGTAGAAATATTTGTAAAATTTTTGTTTAATCTATGAAACACTTTTCAAAATATATCGATATTTTAAAATCACCAGTCGGCCTACTTTCAGCACTTTTTTTTCGTGCGTTCAAATTTGAGGGTTATATTTAATTCACAATATTAAAGATAAAAGCTTGAAATGTTCACTGTTCTCTTTCTTCATGTCATCGATTAAAAGTCTGCAATACTGGACAAGTGCATCGAATGATCTCTGATTCTGGCTGAATTTTTTTTTTTTTGAGACCCATTTTGAACCTCCTGAACTCTGTTCCACATGGATTAGGACATTTAGCAATATTTGTGTTTTCAACTTGTCATACCTTCCTTTTTCATATTAGAAAAAGCATTCTACATATTTATTGCTGTTTTATTGTGACATGTAGCTACATATGGTTCAGAAAATATCACTAGTTGACTTCTGTATAATCAATTTTTTGTTAATGTGTGATCAAAGATGGGGCTTTTCATGAGAGCTTCAGTTTTTTTTTTTTTCATATTTCAACTCACTCATAGTCCAGGACTGTCTGATCTACTTGTCCAATACTGCAGATTCTAAATGAACAAGATAATGAGAAGTAAATTTTTAGACTTTTATCTTCAAATATTTCTGAGATATTGTTGTTTAAATGTGAAAAAAAGAGCAGAAAGTGGTTTGTCAGACATTTTTCTATTTTTCTTTTTAACCTCAGACAGCTTACATTTATATTAAGATAATATTTCACAGGTGTCATTTTAAATCGCAGCAATTCTTGATGGAAAAGTTTAAAGCAAATGAGAGATGGTCGAGCAGAAGGCCCCTGATGATTTGAGATGGAATAACCCTTATGGTTAAACCAAACATCCATCCATCATCAGCGTTAGACATACCTGCTTTACCTTATAGAGAGTCACAGGGGGCTGGAGCCTTTCCCAGCTGGGACTTGGTGAGGGGCAGGTTATGCCCTCCAGCATGCACTCAAGACCAGACATAGACTTATATAACGTAGAATGTCATACTGATAGGATTTTCACCTGTTATTGAAAATGATCTCTTGAATGATCTTTATAGATGTGTGTTTTTTATGTGGATCTATGAAGTTAATTGTTTTTTTTTCTTTCTATTTTCTCCAAGACGTTCTTTTTAGGGACGATGACCTGGCGTCAGAGGATCAGAGTGTACATTCAGGACGTGTGGAATAAATGTGACCTCACTGCTATTATACTGTTTGTCATAGGATTAATCTGCAGGTATGTAAAAGACTTTGACAAAATCAATCTTATAGTTGTTTTCAAATTGCAAAATTTAAACATTTATAAATGTATTGGGGTTTTTTTTTTTTTTTTTTTAAGATGATTTTTAGATTAGAACTAGCATATTTGTTATGCAAAGTAAAAAAAACCCTGCAACTTTGCTGCTCCTACATGCTGCATGTTTACTCACTACTACAGTTTATACACTGAAACGACTCTAACTGATGTTTTCTGATGCTAGATTCTATTAAATTGCTATAAATAATATTATGGTTGTTAGTTTAGCAGGCCTATTGGTACGTGTGTGCATCGTTTGTACAACATGGTTTGACCACCTGCAGGGAATTTTTGGCACCATTATTTTGGGAAACCCACCTTAAAACAAGGCAACGTACTTCCTAATCTGTCACAAGTTCTCAGCTAAACGTTTGCACAGTTCAACTCGAGTTTTAGTTTATTGTTTTGGACTGCAAAGGTTTAAAAATCTTTTGTACAAAAAAAATTCTGGGACACAAATCGGAACAACATGCTTACTCTTTTTTTTTTTTTTTTTTTAAACAATGCTCATAAAGATGTAACCACAACACACACTAATGCATTGATGCTTTTCTTACATGCCGTAAGATCCAAATTTCACCAGATTTTTTTACATTTATTTTATGTGTTGGCCACTGGGTGATACTGATGCCACACTGCTCTGATGTGTTTCAGGATGTTTCACTGGTCATACGAGTTCGGCCGGGACATCCTGTGTGTTGACTACATGGTCTTCACCCTTCGCCTCATTCACATTTTTGCCATTCACAAGCAGCTGGGACCAAAAATCATCATCGTGGGCAAGATGGTGAGAACCCGACATTATACTAATGGCACATACAGCGAGTGTTTACGTTACAGTGACAGATTTACAACTCTTTTCTCCTGCTCAGATGAAGGATGTCTTCTTCTTCCTCTTCTTCCTGGGGGTGTGGCTCATGGCATACGGAGTCGCCAATCAGGCTCTGATTTACTCCTACGACCCTCGCCTCGATCGCATCTTTCGCAGGGTTTTCTACAGGCCCTACTTGCACATCTTCGGACAGATCCCCGTGGAGGAGATGGATGGTATAAATGTTTGTGTGGGCATTGTGCATACAGAGGAGGAAAGTGGATAATTGTTGTGTTTTAAAGCCAGTTTAGGAACGTGACCTGTATTTCACATCCGATGCAGCTTTATAATTGAGCCCCAGTGCATTTTACTCTTTTTCTTTTTATTCCAGTGGGGAAAGATTGGGATATGCCCTGCACAGACAACATAACTTTGATTGAGGGTGGTGCGGAGCCGTGCAGAACTCTGACCAGTAACTGGCTGGTGGTAATTCTGCTGGTCATTTATCTCTTGGTCACCAACATCCTTCTCATCAACCTGCTCATTGCCATGTTTAGGTAAAGACAAAAGTGCCCATCTGCGGCTACATTCACGTGCTGATCTCTGTAAATGGTCCACTGTGATTGCTCTTTACTCTGATCTCGTGTCCACACAGCTACACCTTCTCTGAAGTGCAGGCCAACAGCGACATCTACTGGAAGTTCCAGCGCTACAACCTGATTGTTCAGTACCACTCGCGTCCTTCCCTGGCTCCTCCTTTCATCATCCTCTCCCACATCAACCTGTTTATCAAGAGGACCATCCGCAAGGTGCCCTCTGTCAAGATCCACCACTTTGGTCAGTATTTAAAAGGATAAATGCCATAAAGTTACTGCCTTCTGCACACCAAATACATCCATCCATTAGCTATACACCGCTTAATCCTCACTAGCGTTCCGGAGGGGGGGCTTGTTTCTACACGTTCAGGTACCGTCAGATAAATGAAGAGTGCGTATCTGAAATGAGCTGAACAGTCACCAGAGGAATGGACTCATTGTTTACATCCACATTTGCCTCGTTTCAGCTGTGGTCAGTGGTTTAGATTAAATGTATTGTAAATGATAAATGCCTTTTTCTATTAGTATTGCAGTTAAGAGGGAAAGCTGCTAACAGATTAATGACGTGGGAAACCATCCAGAAGGAGGACTTCCTGACCGCTCAAAACAAGATCCAGAAAAGCAGCGACTCAGAGAGACTCAAACGGATGTCTGTCAAGTGAGGACACCTTCCTTCACCGCTGCAGCTGCAAACTTTAAACGTATTTTTTGGATCCATAACACTGAAGTGAATTCCCCCTTTTGTTTTTTTTCCCCCAGAGTGGATGGTCTTGTTAAACATCTGACTGAAAGCAGGGACTTTGATCACAGACTGAGGGCTCTGGAGAACGAGGTAACGTTGAAGCACTTTTTATTTATAGCATTTAACTATTCGTACACTCTTAGTGTGATAAAAGGGAGATGGAAATAGAGGAAACACCTGTTGTATAAGTGTCCAAACTGTTTTCAGCAGGGATTATGAGTGTGGACTGTAACAATTTAGAGTCTGTTGGTTTGCTGGTAACTGCTGCTGATGGGAGCCAAGAAATACTCTACCGCATTGTCCCAAATAAAATGACTAATTGAGGGGTTTTTTTTGTTTTTGTTTTTGTTTTGTATAAATTTTTAAAAAAACAACAACTGTAAATTGCTGAGTTTGATCAGTGTTTGCATGTGGATTTTGTGGCATTTAAACAGAGCAAGACTGCCTGTGTATGTCAGTTTCTAGTCTTTATGCTAAGCTAAGCTAACTGGCTGCTTATGTTGGCTTCATATTTTATGGACGGACGGATATGAAAACAGTTTATTTAAACCTGGGTGGGGAAAAAGCACAAAATGTAGAATGATGACATGAGGGGGGTGTTCAATAGGTGATGATAGTCATTAGTCATGTTGGACCGAGTGACAGTTTAAAGGTCCAGTGTGTCAGATTTATGTTTTCATTACCATAGAATGAGCTGCTTATATGTACAGATTTAATGGATGCTCTTTCACAACGCCCGCCATGTTGCACCCCCATTTCTCACCGACTCCACACAGAGGGCTTTTTGCATTCTTAGTGTCCGCCGTAGGTTCTTCTAAATACTTATACGGAGACGGGGTGAGACAGGGTGTATTACATGTTTTGCAATCTGCAGCCTCACCACCAGATGCCAGTCAATCCTACTCACTGCTCCTTTAAAAAGCCACTTGTGTGTATTGTCATAGACCACAGAGCACAGAATGAGCAGGAAATGTCAACATATAGACTGATGCAGCCTCACTGCTCCTCGATGTTTTGAAAAACCTGATAGAGTTTTGTTCTTCTTTTCGTCTCAGATGGAATATTGCTCAAACGCGCTCAGCTGGATTGTGGACACTTTAGCTCAAGGCAGCACATTCAAACCTCCTCGCCCGCCACCGACAGTACGAGGTACCCACTGGCAATTACAAAAAGAGAGCATGTGTGACTTTACATGATTGTTTCTGGTAATATGAGTCAAACATCTCAGGGATCTTGTTTGACTAGTTTGATTTCTTGCAAAGCTTAGACCTTAAACCATTTTTGCCATAATTGCCGCTTCCTTCATCTTCCTCCATGTCTTCTCTTGCACAGATGCTTTCCCCTGTTCTTCCAGTCTGACTTGATTCAGCCATGGGGGGATGCTTTCACGTCACTCAGGACGACAGAAATGAAGCACATTCACTTGGCTTCCATGCAACCCACCAACCAGTCAGACTAGTAACCACGGGACCCAAACTCACTGAACTGAAAACAAAAGTTAAAAATCGTCACCACTCTTGACAGTAAATGCTGTCTCATTCAAACACCAAAGACAACTGCATTGTATTTGTAATTATGGCTGTTAAATAATGAGACTGGCTCATGTTACTGAAATCATAGTACGCACGTGTAAACCCACATCAGCCAATGGGGAAGCATAAACGACCCCTGGAAGTTTCAGTCAGCTGCAGTGTAGTGTGATTGAAACATATTAGATTAAATCACAGAAGTAGCCTCACACATCTCATATGTTTTATGCCGTTTACAGCCAAAGCCACCATGTCTTCACTGCTGTAGTTTTAAGTTGGAATTTTATGTATTTTTAAAAAAAGTTTTATTCTGATATGTTGTGATACTGTTTACATGGGTTATATAAAGCGCACATAGTAACACTGTATGTTCAGTTACACTAAATGGTTGCTGACATCAGCATGTATAATGTATTTGCACATTATTTTTCTGTTCAATAAATTGTATCATGAATAGGTGGATTCTTCTTGTTAAAGGGTTAACACAGTGTTTTACATTTTGGGAAGTCGGCTCCACTTATTTACTTTTCAGTCACTTCGATGAAAAGATCAAAACTGCCATGAACCAGCAGACGGTTATCTTAGTTTAGCCAAAGACTGCAGGCGAGGTGTAACAGCCAGACTGGCTCCAGATATAACATGCTAGTTGCTGACAACGACAGACTAGTCAGCTGCCGATGCTGGTTGTTGCTTGTGGACGCAGCCAGACGAGCGGCTTCCACCTGTTTCCAGCCTTTGTGCAAAGCGAAGCTAACCAGCAACTGACTCCTGCTACATATTTATTACACTGTAAAAATAAAAATAAATTCTTGCAGTTTTTAGCCAGTTTTTGTGAACAATTTACTGTTATTTTAAATATCTTCTCAGGTTTGCAAAATTACAATCAATACCTAGTAAAACCACAGAAAAAGTGTTGATTTCTATTTTGGTACTTTAAAAAAAAAAAAGGGCCAAAACTGTAAATAATGTCCACATCAGAAGTCTGTGTTTTTAAAAATAGCCATTTGTTTTTGATTATAAAATCACACTATTTTTTTGGATTTAAATCAGCAAGAATCAAATTTTTTTTTTAAACTGAAATTTACTGTTATTTTTGCTGTTTTTATGTTTATGGTATTTTTTCTGGCATCCTTGCTGCTTGCTTGCTTATTTATGTATTTATTTATTTATTTATTTATACAGATTTTGAAAAATCATTTTTACAGTGCACTATAAGAAATAAATGTTTAACTCATTAAAATCAATTTTCTGTAATTTTACAGATGTACCTAATTTTGTTTAATTACAGATAAAAACCACTAAAATCACAGAAAGTATTTCATTTATATGCTGATTGTACAAAAACAAACAAACAAAAAAAACTAAATAAACTGGAGAAAAATGTAAACAATGTCCACATCAGAAATGAGTATTTTTACAAATAGTAGTTTGTTCTTTTACAATGTGTGGCCATAAAATTACTATGTATTTAAATCAACAAAGATTATCATTATTTTACTGATTATTGCCATTTAAAACGAAAAAGAAATGATCTATATTGCATCTGTATAATTGCAAAAATAGTAAGAATCACATAAAAACTATTAATTTCTTGGGGACTTAAAAAAACAAACACACAAAAAGAAAAAAGAAGTCTGTATTTTTACACATTTTGTGCTTTACAACATGTGACCACAAAATTACAATCCTAATTGCACTTTAAATCAGTAAAACGTATATTTTTTGGTCATATTTTTTACAGTGTGATACAGTGCTCTGGCACCCTTGTTGCTAGATTTTTAGTTTGTTTTCTAATGGAATTCTTTTTATACAGTGTATTTTTTCAGCTAAAGCTTATCAAGAAAGCGAATATTTCCTTGAATGATGTTATTTTAACCTTATCGGGCGTCATTTGTTTCAGGAACTTCCTTTAAAATCTTTTCACTTACGGAAAGAAAAGACATTAAAGAGCGCTAAGGGGAAAACACGATGAAGTAACTTTAGAGCAACACATGTCTGTGAATGACAGCACTGAGGTAACACTACATCAAAGAAACTTTAGTGTTCGGTGTTAAATTAGGTTCATGTTAATTGTGTATGAAACATGGGAGCCGGATAGTTTGATACACTGCAGAGGGAAGTGTTACGGATAGTGTGAGCGGTGCCTGGTGCTCAGTTTCACTGTGCCGGGGCTCTATTGAAGGTCACATAGTGAAGCAAGCTATTGAAGGAGCCTTTACTGTAAATAGTTAGCTGGGCCACCTGTCAATTGCAGCAGCAGCTCACACTGAGAGGCAGTGTCATCACTTTCTGCCTTCGATGGCTGTAAATGCCATGTAGCTGAGCATTTCAAACAGCAGTGCAGGCCTGCTGAATTTAAATCTCCTTTCTGTCTCTTAATGGTCCCTTCGGCAAAAACTTTTGAGGAAAACAAAACAAAACAAAACATTATGTTCTTAAAGTGTCAACTTTGGAATGTCAGCACATGTGCACACCACCATCCTCTCCATTTCCGTCTATTTACATCCACTCCATACATCATCCTGACATGTTCTCGTCTGCTTCAGGCCTGGCAGGTTCGCTGTTGATACTCTGAGAGCTGTTGCTTTAACCCTGTGATCATTTTATCAAGCACCATTAAAGGGAGTATTAATCGTCACTGATTGAAAGCTGGTCGTAACATTTTGTGAAATGTTTACCCCCAGTTTTTTTTTCTTTTCAAATAGCATTTATCTGTACGGTGGAGCTTCATGTGTGAGTTTCAACTGTGATTCCAGTCGATGCTCCAGAACACAGCTCCAATAATTTCAGTGGCCGGAGAATAAACGGTTAATCAAAGGAACTTAAGTGAGTGGAAACAACTATAAAGTTTAAAGATTTACTTTTATTTGGTTTACTATTTTTTTTAAAATTTTTCTGTAACCAGGCTTTCACTGGATGGTTTCTGGTTTGAGCGGTTCACACGACATCGGGAACATTTCATGTGTCACACTGACCTAAAACTAGAAGACACCAGAATATCTGAAAAATACTTTCCTTGTTGAAAATTCATGAAATTTGAGATTTATTTATGATACAATAGTTTCTTTTGTTCCTGTTTTTATTGGATCTTTTATACATAAAACAATATGTTTATTCTAATTGTGTGAAGTTTTTGTTTGTTCCTATGAAAAGTGCTGCACAAAGAAAGTGTGATTGACAGAAACACATGCATGTATAAATTTAAACTAGCGAAATAAGACAATAACAATAAATGTGCAGTGATAGAAGGTAGATAAAGTGACAAAAATGTTTAAATGAATAAGAAATCTGTTGGAAGTCAGACTAAAAAGACAGGTTTGCTGTTCTAGAGACGTGTAAAGCCTACATGTACCCATCGATAAAGATCAGGTCTAGACAGCAAATGTTGTATTGTGTTGAAACGAATGAATTAATCCGCCTAACTTTCTCCTCCCTCTCATTTCCATATGTTCTTTGACCTCTCTTCTCCCCTCCCTCCTGCAGTCCAGAGCCCCCTCCGTCCCTCCCCGTCCACCACACACCCACCTCTCCAATACACTGTGTTAAGGGCATCAGGAGCATTCTTACCCGGACATGTGCCTCTGTCACTCATGTCCATGCAGCCACACAACCACACCGCACACACAGCTGCATTCCCACTGTGTCTTCTGTGTTCCAAGCACAAGGCTGGCACGCCGCTCTCCTCTGACCGTCTCTCTCTCTCTGCAGCCTGGATCAAAGACCTGAGCAGTATCCCTGAACCAACTGCTGCTTTGTCACCTTTTTTTCTGGGGATTTTCTGGGTTTTTAATTTGCTGAAAACTCATCAGCTGTTTTGGTTTTAGGCGGACAGATATACAGAGACACTCTTCCAGTGTGGATTTGTGGTTCAGAAGGAGCTGTACAAGTCCTCCGACATGGCACCGGTGAAAGGCTGGATGGTGGGGCTCCTGCTGGTGCTCCTGTGTCCGTCACAGCTCCCACTCTCTGGGGTGGTGAGCGCCCAGGACGTGGCTGAAGCGGAGGAGGACCTCCACGTCAGAGATGTTGAGGAGGTCGTGGCCGAAGAGGGCGAAGCTGCTGAGGGAGGTGATGACGCTGAGGAAGAAGTAGCAGAGGAGGACGATGATGGGGAAGAAGAGGCAGGCGAAGAGGAGGAGGAGGAGGAGGAAGAGGATGCAGCGGAGGAGGAAGAGGATGCTGAGGAGGCAGAGGAGGAGGAAGAAGGGGATGAGGAAGAGGAAGCTGCAGAGGAAGAAGAAGAAGAAGAAGAAGAAGAAGAAGAGGCAGCTGAGGAAGAAGAGGAAGAAGGGGAGGAGGAGGCTGATGATGATGAGGCTGACGATGAGGAGGAGGCAGCAGAGGAAGATGAGGAAGAGGAGGCTGATGATGATGATGAAGAAGCAGAGGAGGAGGCTGATGATGATGATGAAGAAGGGGAAGAGGAGTCTGATGATGATAATGAAGCAGAGGAGGAGGAGGATGGTGATGATGATGATGATGATGATGAAGAAGCAGAGGAGGAGGATGGTGATGATGATGATGACGATGTTGCTGAGGAGGAGGAGGAGGATGGTGATGATGATGATGATGATGATGAAGAAGCAGAGGACGATGGTGATGATGATGATGAAGCCGAGGAGGAGGAAGATGGTGATGATGAAGCAGAGGATGATGATGATGATGAGGAGGCCACAGCTGAGAGTGAGGAGGAAGAGGAGGAAGCCTCTGAAGGAGAGGAGGCCGGCGATGCTGAGGAGGAGGAAGCTGAGGACGACTCTGAGGAAGAGGATGGTACAGCTACTTTTGTATTATTTTGGTATTTGAACAGTTTTTAAGACATTTTGATGGGTTGAGAAGACACTGAAATATGAAGTCATTTCATATAAAGTGTAACAAACGGTTATTTTTCTGGGTCCTTGGAGTGAATCGTGACTCCACAGGAGCCCTCTGACATTGTTCGACTCACTGCAGCTACTTTAGGAACACTGTCATACATATCAGTCCTAAAATAGACGGGCTTATCTGTGGGGTAGCTGGCAACCGGCAGTATAGAAACCATTCATGCCTTTTGTTGAGCCAGTGTGGCTTCTGACACTCTAAAACTGATCCTGATAAACAGAAATACACTTAGGCAGAATTAATATTAAAAACTCACATGTGGGTTCAAAAGAAAGTTATTTAATAAAAAAACAATCACAGAGTCAGTATTTAATGTACTGACGATTACAATAGGCCTCGGCCAATAAAAATCACCTGGGCAGTCAAAAACGTGTTTATGTGGAGCAGCAGACTGACAGTTTGTGGGTCACTTGGACCTTTCATGTTTCTTGTCCAGCCTTCTCTGTAAACGCCATCAGCTGCCAAACAAGACAAGTGTCTCCACCTCAGCACTTAGCGCTCACAGCTGAATCACTTGTAACAGACTGCTGAGAGAAAGTTCCTGACCAGTGAATTTCACATATTCAACCCTTTTGGTTGGTGTGTTCCATTACTGACGAGCAGCACAAACAGATTCATACAGAAAAGATATTCACTCAAACATAGTCCAGGCAAAGCTAACGAATGAAAGTAAGAGTAAATAGGACCGAGACTAAGAAAGTACTTTGTCAGGCAAAAGCAGGATACCCAGACCATCGTGAATAGTCATCTCAACATTTTTATATACCAGATTTAAATTAACAGTGGTCGAGCCGAAGTGCTGTCCAGTGGAGAAAAAAGACTTCCATCCGTTTTCTATACACCGCTTAATCCTCACTAGGGTCGCTGGGGGGCTGGAGCCTATCCCAGCTGACTTAGGGCGAAGGCAGGGGACACCCTGGACAGGTCGTAGGGAAAGGGTCATGAGCGGGATTTGAATTCATGACCTCCACATTGGGACTATAGCCCTACACATAGGATGCCAGCTCAACCAGGTGAGCTATAGCAGGGGAGAAAAAAGACTTGCCTAACGAATTTAAATACTAAGGGTAATTAATCCATCCATCCATTATCTATACACCGCTTAAACCTCATTAAGGTCACAGGGGGGCTGGAGTCTATCCCAGCTGACTCAGGGTGAAGGCAGGGGACACCCTGGACAGGTCACCAGTCTATCACAGGGCTACACTTAGAGACAGACAACCAAGCACACTCACATTCACACCTACAGACAATTTAGAATCACTGATTAACCTCAACATGTTTTTGGACCTTGTGGGAGGAAGCCAGAGAACCTGGAGCCAACCCACGCTGCACGGGGAGAACATGCAAACTCCACGCAGAGAGATCCTGGGTGTCCTCACCGGGATGCGAACCAGCGACCTGCTTGTGAGGCAACAGTGCTAACCACTGATCCACCTTGCAGCCCCAGTTCAGTTCAATGCAATTCAATTCAAATAACTTCACTTATCCCGTAGGGATAATTCAAAAGCTCACTGAATATTTAATATAAAGACATCAACAAAACAAACAAACAAAAAAAACCCCAATAAACCACATCATAAATATCACATTATATTACATGGTACAAAGTTTGGAGAGTCAGGGGACATGAGTTTCAGTCTGTTAAGCACAGTCCTGATGTGGTCTGAAGGTGCAGCTGCCTTCGCTTTAGGGTGGATGTAGACCAGGATAAAAAAAAATAAAAAATAGCTGGAGGAATTCCCAGCAGGCAAAAAGGACGAAGGGAAACAGCCAGGAGTTCAATGTTCATGGTGCACAGTCCCTCCCTCATACACTGCCTCCATGTTTCTTGCCTGTCAGCTGACTGTCACAGTGGAGCCTTATTGGTGTTAAGGCCCTGCTATATTATTAGACAAATTTCCCACCTACAATATTATACAATCAAACAAATCTTCACATCTCATTCAGATTATATAATTAAGGTTAACCTCCTACAAAACTGTAAATGGAGAACCAGCAGCATGTTGGTGACGCTGGAGAGGAACCCCAGAGAACCAGGCTCAGGGAGGACGGCTTACTGCCTCGAGCGGCTAGGGTGAGGGTAAAGGATGGCAGAGACCGCAACAAACAAGAGAACACAAACACTCGACTTGGTTTCATATTTCTTGTCAAAATATTCCAAGATAAGGGCCAATCTGATGGGTGTAAATGGTCCGAGCAGCAACTTCCTGGTTTAGTCCCAGGATGCCGTTTCCCTTCCGTCTTCCCCGACATTCACGTGTCTCTCCACTATCTGTATTAAATAAAGGCATGAAAGGACAACAAAATATATTCCATGAGCAAATAAAAATAGCATTTGAACTTCCAAAAGCATCAGTAAATGTGTCATTCCCGGACTAGATGTCAACAGAAGGCCTCTAGTTGCGCAAGTTCATTGTTTGAAATAGAAAGCAAAACGAAAGCGAGTGTTACATCATCACCGATTGTATGTGTGCCAGGCTTACCTGACACAACCTGTGATTAATATTACCAGATACCTAGAATGTTCAGACAGCAATTACAGTTTTGTGTCACATTCTGACACTAACGATCTGTCATTATATGTAGCTAAGAGGAGATTTACATTAAGTAGAAGCTGTAGCTCAACAAATGCTTGAATTTTGAGGCTCGCGTTGATTTTTAAAAATCACTTAACTCGATACAGAAACTGTGAAGACACTTAATTGATTCTGTTGACTTTAGATGAGGCCGAAGTCGAGGACACAGCTGAAGAGGAGGAGGCGGCGACCGAAGCGCTGCAGTTCCACTCTGGATCTGTGTGTGGTGTTTGTACCATCTGTGAGGTAAAATCACCACATTGGAGCGATCTGCTTATTTAACCCTATTCAGGACTTTCATGCTGCCGTACGTAGAAGGTCTTTTGGGGACCCCAAGAAAGAATACGTGGAAAATATTTGTTGGTATTCATTATAGACTTTTATACTATGTTAAATACATTGTCTGATAAGTTGACGTATTTTTGGTTCTAAATGCATGACATATGTCCCTCTTTTTATATTTTAAAAATAAAAAAACAATACCTGTCACCTAAACCAAAAGGCCTGAATAGGGTGAAAAGTAGCTCTTCCAGAATTGAAAGGGAAAGCTACCATTGTGTAGAGTAATAACCACCTCTGACAAGTTTATCAGGAAGTCTTGCCTTGCTTTAGTCGCCCTGCTAGTAGATGAATGACCGGTCAGACTGTGCTGTGTGTGCCATCTCCTCTTTCAGCATTGCTCTAAGAACTGTGACAAGTGTCCCTGTGAGGAGGGAGACGAGTCGGATCACTGTGAGAGCTGCCAAGTAAGCATCTGCACTGTGCAAAAATACTGAACATAAAGCACGTCTCACGTTGACAAGAGCCTCCTCATGTTAACCCGTTCGTCTTTTCTGCAGAGCTGCTCATCCTGCTACATTTGCCCCATACTGTGCGACACAATTTGCACACCAGGTAAACGCTGGGAGTGACTCCTCGTTGTTACTGTGCACGTTTGTTGACAGATTTTTATCAACCTAATTTGTGTATTTTTCCAGGCGGCCTTGTAGATGAGCTATCCGGGTCCCTCTTTCAGTAAGAGTCTTTACTGTCACAACACACTGACATTTTCAACAATGCAGCAGCACATACAGTACTGCTCGACTGGTGGGTTTACTCATTCTCCTACTTTTGCTTTTTTCCTGCAGGACCTTTGCCTCTTTGCTCTGAGCACCTTGAGACTGTGTCCTTTTAATTTGGGTGCTGCTCTCAGGACCGATGCTTGTACCTCACCAGCAAAACGAAGATTTAACATCCAGCAAGAGCTTGTCATGAATCGCACAGCTGACGGGGAAAAAAAATTATTTGTGTTTTAACTAATGTTTAGATAAGATTTGTAACCTGAGAGCTGAAAATAGTCAGTGTGTAGACTTTTTCCTTACTGTCATTCTTCTTTTTTTTTGTAGGAGTATTATTGTAAAGCAACTGTAGTTGTTTATAGTCATGTCTTAGTGGCAGGAATCTGTACTAGAAAGATGAAAATGATTGCCACTCATGGACGTTTCTCAGGCTGGGGCCTTCAACTTAGAGTACAATTTTACGCACATGTTTTTACAGAAACATTGCACACAGCATTACTAACAGTCATCTGATAATAAATGTCGTCCTTTCTGTAAAAATGTGTTCACTATGTCTGATCTGTACATCAAAAAGCCCAGATTTATACCTAAACTTGTATTTTCCTTTAGCTCAAGGGTCGGCAACCTTAAACACTCAAAGAGCCATTTGGACCCATTTCCCGCAAAAAAAAGAAAACACCAGAAGCCACAAAACATCTAAAATGAAGATAGCACTGCATATATCGCTATTTTCCTCTATGCTATGTATAAAGAAGAAAAAAACTATAGTGTTGCATTTATGAAATCAAAGAACTGCTAAAAAGAAAACATTTTATTACTGCATGCAACAGAAACATTTTGAACTCTGAAAAAAAAAGAGGCTGCATTGAAGGTTACTTTGAAATAAAATACTCAGTGTCTATTTGAGTCCTCCTCGTATTTATGAAATAAAAAGCCACACTTAAATTATTCACCTGCAGCAAAGTCAAAATGGCGTCTGGGCCTGCTGACCAGAGTCCTGACCGCCTGTGAGCGCTTTGGGACGGGGAGGAGCTCACTTCAGAGTCTCCAAACCCCCGGAAAAGTCTCCAGTCACACCAGAAAGAGTTGTCGGATTTGTAGCTAGTCGCTTTTAACAAAAAAAAGTCGCCAAGAGGATTTCAAAAGTCACCAGATTTAGCAGAAAGTCACCAAGTTGGCAACGCTGCACGTGCTGGCAAATTCTAGAACATTAAAAAAAAAAAATTAATGTCTCATATTTTACTATATTATGTCCATTCTTTTCAACATAGGGAAATAATTATCTGATGTTTCAACACAGTATTGCATCGTCAGAATGGAAGTCATGAAACAACCGAGTACAAAACTGTATTTTAAAATGAAAATGGGCAGATGGAGAGCGGGCTCATCAGGAGCCACATCTGCCATGCGTAGAGTTAATAAGGTTGAGGATGCTGCTTGTGAAGTGTTGCCCCGCTCTTCCTGCAGGGCTCGGTGAAGTTGGTGGACATTTTGTCGAGTGAGATCACGTTGTCAGACACGTCCATCCAGGGCGTCAGGTGGCAGATTTGATACACAACAAATGGGGAAGGTGTGGACATTCAGGTTCTTGGTTACGGCCTTAACCGACAACCATGATACCAACAGCCAGCTCTCCTCTTTTTTGATTGTGGCCTTTGAATCATTTTAAGGTGGTGTTTTTTTTTTTTTTTTTAACTCATCGGTCAAAGGAGTGCCTGCCTTCCATTGACGCTATATGATCATTGTCCTTTAAAGCCACGCCTGAGCAGGGTGCGGATTCGCTTACTGATCAAGAATTTGTCATCAGTTTAACAGCTCCGAAACTTTTTGTGCGCAGTCGAATCACAACAAAAGACACCAGGTTTTATTTAAGTAAGAAAAGAAGAGCATTTGCATGTGAGAATGTCTTCTAGATCGAGGTGTTAACCAAGTTACTGAGTCCCACATAAGGCAGTGGTGGGTTCTGTGTGGACACATGATACAAACCTACATAAAGAGGTTACAAGTTGATTTCTCGTCTTACAGCTCGACTGCATCTTTTTGTTAAATTCTCTTCGCTCAATTAAAACCCACATCGGCCTCCCGTCTGTCCTGCAGATTTTTATTTGTCGCCTCCAAGTCTCAGCAGCTCCTGGTCACGTCTCCCTGCTTGTTTTGTAGACACTACGGAGCTCCTGCGGTGCCACAGGCGTTAAAGTGTCCACTCACTGTGACAATAAATATGAAATTAACGTGTGGAAGTATTGAAGTGAAATCACAGATGAAGAGCTTTGAGCTACATTTCTCTTAAAAAAGTCACTTCTGTTGATATTTGTAACCATTTCTCCTCTTTATTTCTCGGTAGCTTTAAGCATCAGCTTGAATTACTCATCTTGGCAGACAGATTACATCAAATCCAACGAGATCCAGCTGCAGTGAAAGTGAGACGGTGAGCTTCTTGGTTTCTTTTGTCAGAGACTTGGCAGACAAAGAAGTGTGTGCTATTGAATCCACACAGACAGGCCCGGGGTTTTGTGCCAGAGACATAGATGCCTCTCATAGTTAAACCAGATTTAAATTGGTAAGTGTTTTAGAAGTAGATCAGACAGGATGGACAGGACCAGTGTGACCTGATTCTTCTTGGGCTTATAGGACATTTCTGTAGCATTAGCCGTGATTGGTGACAAAACAAACAAACAAATAATAAACAAGCCACTGCATTTATTGCTTTTGATTTGTTTTGGATGTCCCCAGCTCCTGTTGTGTATACAGCACCTTAGGCGCCATGATACTGGGAAAAATGACGTTGCAGTATTTCAATATATTATACAAGTTTTCACTACATGATTGGAAAAACTCTAGTGATGATGTTGTAGGGGAGTGCATGTACATTCAAAATTTAAAATAATTTTGATAAAAACGCTGACAAAAAGCTGTTTGGAACCTCTGTCGTGTGGTGCAACACCAGCAAAGGCATCCAAAATTGTGTTTTTTCTTTGGATGGCATTCAGATCTGGCTTTGCACTCATCATACAGAGCTAAATGGTCAAACTAATTAGTCATGTTGCCTCACATAGTGCACGACACTGCTGGCAGAGTGCTTGTTTTCAGCCTTTTTGCAGACAAATATTCCTTCTCTGTGTTTTGTCTCTTGGATGTCCTCATTATGTTCATCCATCCATCATCTATACACCGCTTCATCCTCACTAGGGTCGCAGGGGGCTGGAGTCTATCCCAGCTGACTCAGGGTGAAGGCAGGGGACGCCCTGGACAGGTCACCAGTCTATCACAGGGCTACTCCTCATTGTGTCACATACTCAATTCTTTGTAATTGCTCTCTCACTCTAAAGGCATTGTTGTTGTTATGGTAAATGAGGGGTGTGGTGTTACGCTTTTGATCAGCTGATACATTACTGAGGGTTGGCGAGGGATGTCGCTGCCTGAGGACACGAGGTGAAGGGCACAAAACCTGTTGTGTAGGTTCAATAAGCTGAGTGATGTGTATAAACACAGGGGCAATTACATTAAACATTACCAGGTAACAAAAAGACATGTAGTCCCGCAGCAAGAAACGGTGATCGCCTTTACTCTTGACTGTCAATATTTCCACAGTAAACTCACACCCGTCAATATAAAGCACGATCAATATTGATTCAAATCAAAAGTTTTGGGAAAATGAGATGTAGTTGCGGAAAGAATCTAAGTATGTTTACTAAAGTATAGTTGTTGAGTACAACTTTGAGTATTTTACGTGATTATTTTTATTCAAACCTCAACGGCTCCACACTTCTGAGGGAAATTTTCTTAGTTTTCCTGCATTCCTACATTTATTTGACAGCTTTTGTTCCTTTTTTTAAAAATGAAGATTGTACCCAGTTGATAATTTAACAGCTTTGTAAACACTTCGTTAAACATTAAGCCAGTGGTTTTCTCTTCTGACATCATTCAGAAAAACTGCGTGGTCATGCTCACGTTTCAGATGAGGTGTTAACAGTTCCACCAACTCGCTTTTTTCTTTCTATAATCTCACTAAAAACATGAATGAATGTTTAATTAATCAAATGTGTCACCAAAAACCAAAGATGAGAAAACATTCAAAAACTGGAATCATATCAGAAGTTATTTTTTTCTTCTTTTCTCTCCCATTAATCATCCCTTTGCCCCTCAGATTTATCTGTTGTCCCTGAATATAAAACTGTAATGAAATAGTTTAAACCTGCAGCAGCTACATCAGTAACATGCTGCTGACACACTGATGCTTCCCTGTCAATAATCTAATGATGACATATACAATAATATGTCAATCAAGGGAAGCAAACCAGCACTTTTATTTTAATACTTTCAATACATTTTGCTGATGATAGTTAAGTATTTTTATTCAAGAGGGATTTTTCATGCAGGCTTTTAATAATAAAAATAAGAATAATTCATCAGATTTATTAGCACTTTTCTAGGCACTCAAGACGCTTTACGCTGTCAATCATTCATTCACACACATTCATTCCGGTGGTGGTAGCTACTATTGTACCCACAGCTGCCCTGGGCCAGACTGACAGAGGCGTGGCTGCCATTCTGCCCCTCCGACCACCACCTCAAACAATTCATTCATATGATTCACACCAGGCAAAGTGGGTGAAGTGTCTTGGTCAAGGATACAACACCCAAGACACAGGTTACAGGACGGAACCAACATGTTCATTTTATTTGTAATACATCCTCACTCTAGTTTGTCTGAGTTGACAAATGGGACGCAAATGCTCTGAAACAGTAAACCATTGTTTTTGTTTCCTTTGGAACATTTCACAAGTTGAGCATCTGACGTTTAATCATGTGTGTAATACAAACAGATCCATGTCACGTCTTCCGTTACAGCAGATCACAGCCAACATTCCCACAATGCCTTGTGTAAACTTCTCAGGTGTCAGGTTACAGAAGTACCTGTGAATTAAAAGATGACTCTAGCTTCTTATGTGTTCATAAAGGGACGTAGTGCCGAAAGCAGCTGTATATCCTTTATATGAATTGTGCTTTTGTTGCCAGGGCAGTGATGGAGGTGTCAAATGCCTCTTGTTCCTTCTCAGGGTTACATCTTTCAATCATCCATTTCTAAGAATTGTCACTGGAGTGTGCAGTCTGCAGGTTTTTACACGCGTAATTTGCATTAAATAGATGGTTTAAAATCTCAAAATCATTCTTTTGGTTTAAAACCAACCAAAAAGGCTTTATTAGACTTGTAAGATAAAGTCAGGGTCAATCCTTTCACCTTTGTATTGAGCTGGCACTGTGTATAAGTTCCTGATTGCCACCTCTATTTAGATGGAAATGTCCTGACATGAAGTCAAGTTACGTGTGTCCCCATACCGGTTTAGTGTTGTATATACAGTGGGCCCCCACCCATTGCATGTCCCTCTTAGTCAATATCACCAACTTTAAACATTCTGAGGCTCTTGTCATCCATTCCTCACTGACGCACTCATACGGAAAGGCGGAAGTTTTTTAACTCCAAACTATAACATTTTTTATTTTTTTATTTTTTTTTAGCTTTACGATCGTGAAGCTTGGAAAACAAGGTAGGATGATCTGTCTGTGGGATGAACTTTGACATGTGGGAGCAGTAAGTATATCAGCTAATCCAATAACAATCGCTTCCACTTTATACTCGAAGACTTTTGAAACCAACAAGTGTCTCAGGCCTCGTCACAAATTGATACCTACAGATGGTTTGTCTGGTTTTTGGTGCTTTGTTTTGGCATCTCAGCACACTTAAATTGGCTTTCAGTTCAGTAATCAACTAAATTCAGACATGAGGTGGCTGAAACGAAAACATAGAATTTCAGTTTGCCTTTTACATGGTAACATAGATTGTAAAAAAAAAAAAAAAGAGAGAGAGAGAGAGAGAGAAGAAAAGCAGAGCCAGAAGAAACAAAACACGAAAAACTTGTAAAAACAGTGAAAATCACAACATATTTGTAAAATGATGACTTTCTATTAGCTGACCTAAATAAGGTAGAACAGTGTACCATAAAACTATTTATA